CTAAAACCGTCGTCTAATATAGTCGAAGTTGTCTTTTTTAAGCTATTTATGTATGAATTAGACGTCAGTTTTAGTTGTTTTTGTGACGTGTAATATCTTAACGGTGTCGGTTATTTTCCGTCGTTATTTAATGTATTAAAAGATGGTGGTCGATTTCACGTCGGTTTTAAAACATGCTGCACAATGGTGGATTCCCGTCGTCTATTTCAATTTCTGTAGTAGTGCACACACTACACTTGAGGATGTTATGTACGGTTTTGTTAACTTTTGAATCATGCTTGTGGTTTATATGATGGTTATTTGATTCTTTAGAGTTATATACCTTGCGTGATTTATTGAGACTAATATGTGGAGGCCTAACATTCTTTTGAGTCTTTGTTTTGTTTTGTTTTGCTTGAGGGCAAGCAAAGTCTAAGTTTGGGGGTATTTGATATAACCATTATTTCATACATTTTTATTATCTTTCTCTTAGTTCTTGCTATGTTCTTGAGTGAGTTTAGTGCATTTTTACTTAGTTTGTGTTTTACTAAGTTTGAAGAGTAAAGATGGAAAAGCAAGCAAAATGAACAATTTTGGGATTGAAATCCTGGAGCAGAATGTGCTGTATAGAACAATCAACTTGACAGAATATACTGTACTTGCTCAAAACGAACCAGATGTTGAGCCTTATATCGTTGGAAATATACGGATGTTAGCTTTCTATAGAATTTTACGGTTCGTGATTCGGACATGTGTGGAGAGAGTAGTGCCCGTTTTAGTACAGATAGTTCAAGCAGAATGTGTTCTGCGGGTTTTGCAAAATAATCCTTTTGAAGTTCAATCCTTGGAGTTTAATTTGTGTCAATTACATTTGGGAAGCGTCTACAAGGATGTGGAGTTATTTTCTAAGGTATGATCCTATATTTAGTAGGATTTTGGATGCCAACTCATCAAAGACAATTGAAGCCAAACTAGGAAAGCATAGTTACCAAGTCAAAAGATGATTTGTTCCTTATTTAAAGAAGACCAGAAAATAGGGTTCTCTGATGCTGGAGTTTGAAGGAGAGTCAAAGCCACTGCCATCGTCAAGTTCTCGAGCATCGTCACAATCCATAAGTTTTATTTTATGTTCTCTAGTTTTTCAATTATGTTTTCTTTGAATATGAGTAACTAAATTATTCTCTAGGGCGAGGATGATGCCCGAGCATGGATAGTTATGATTTTTAATGTTATTTAATGGATTCTAAGTTTCTTTTAGATGAATGTTTAATCACTAATTTAATTGTTGCTACTTGTTTAAGTTTTTTGACTGATCACCTTAGGGCTTTGCATCTAGTAAATTGGAAGATGAATTTGAGGCAGAACTCGCAATATAATTCAATTAGCTTCTTGTGATTAAGTGTTGTGAATTACATTATTGCTTGATGAAGAATAATGGTTTGCTTCGTTCTCTCGTTTTCTAGAACGTAATGAATCCAACTTGTTAAATTTATGCCTTAACTAGGATAGATTGCAGGATTGGGTATATGATCTTTGTCTGAACTAGAAAAGAATCTTACACTTAAGGAAAACTATGGTCTGAGTGCCTGAAAAGGACTTAGATACGGGAATTATCATCTAAAGAATCGAAAGAATATGTTGAATGCATTGAAATCTAACTTGGATTGCTTGTGGTTGATTCTGAAACCCTAGACCTTCATCATTGTCTTTCAACCTTAACATTCAACCTTTTATCCTCAGTTGTTTTTATTAATTTCTTGTTTGTTTATTCTCACAACAACAATCTCTACAAATTCACTTGCGTATCAGTTAGATTTAATTTAGGAATTCGAATATTAGATTAATTTGGAATCCTCATGGGAATGATACTTGGACTTGTCAAACGCAATACTACATCATTCTTGTGCACTTGCAAGGACAGAACAGATTCAACTGACGAAACCAATGCAATCATAATTGGAAGACCAGCAGAACAGTTGTTTAGAATTTGAGCAGAACAGTTGTTTAGAATTTCTTGCAATGAATTGGTTGTTCAAAGAGGTTTTACTGACCAACAACAATTGCCAGATGCAATTCTACAAACAAGAGGACAAGTTAAAAAAATTCAACTTCGATTTGGGAGCATGAGAAGTGATTCCAACAGAAATGATCTACTCATTCAAGCAATCTTCGATGACACAATGCCACTTCTTGAACCAACATCGCAATCATCTGACAAAAGTTTGGCTGCACATGACAAAGAAAACATTGCTACCCAAATGGTTCCACCCATTACCCCCACTTCTCTCAATGCAAATTCCAAGTGCATCTTCCACAAGCTCAGCTTATGCTTCTATAACAGAGGTTACCCCATTTTCAAAAAAAATATTTAAAGACGCTGTCAAAAGAGCTCTCTTTACCTTTCGCCCATCAAAAAAACCAAAAAGGTTAGAATTTATAGGACAATTAACTCCTTTATATCAATATTTACGCATTTTCTAATATTTACCAACATATTTCTTTTTCTTCCATTTAGCATTTCCCTAAGTCATGTTCGAACCAAAAACAAATCTGAAGAAATTGTTGCTACAAAAAGCATGGAGGAAATTGTATCAGATTCTAATTCACCAATCATTGGCTTAAAGAAGAAAACAAGCGAAGACAATTTGGCAACTAGTTCTCCTACCCTGAGATTAGAGTTTGTATTCTCTCTTTTACAATTCACTTATCTCATTTAAATACATATTACATGCATAATATTCAATTATTCATACCTTCATTCTTCACTCAATCTTTATATATTAAATTGTAACAAATTGTGTTGAATTTGACAAAATCATCATTTTTGTGATATTCTGATTGATGCTTTGTTTTAATATTGGGTTCCTTTCAATTAAGGTATTATAAGATTATCTCTAATTATTATATAGGTCTAAAAACCATTTAGACCACTATTGAATTGCGTATAAATGAAATTTTTGCGTGATGAACGTTTGGGAATACTATTAAATTGTCATATTTACAGGTGAATTTTTTGAAGAAATGTTTGTTTTTCAGGGGAGGCTTTGCCCGTTTTTCAGCAGAGATTTCAAACCCTTAAGTAATTTTAACTTCAAATAAGGGCAAAAGACATTTTAGTCATATGTACCTAACACATAAAAGAATTAAAAGCTTAAACATTATATTTACATCCTTTTCTTCAATTTTTCTTCAATACATCCAACCATGATTATTTTACCTCTCTTCAACTTTTCCTTTAGATAAACACAGAATTTAAAATATGTTTACTTTGTGTTACTTCATTTGGAAAACCATCTACAACTTGCTCATTAGTTCTCTTAATTTCGTTACTTTGTGTTTCCTTAATTGGAAAACCATTTATAACTTTCTTATTAAATTGTTAAATTATATTATTCATGTTTATACATAATTAGATGTTTAGGGTCATCTAGATACACAATCTGTGTTGCCATGTTTGGAAAAATGTAAGGGTTGTCATCATACCAAGTTCTGTTAATGTTCACAGATAGTAAGCCATGTTCAATTTTAACACTTCCCTGCCTATTTGGGTTTGTATCAAACCATCGACACTTAAACATGATCACTTGATATCGCTCTTTGTAAAGCAATTGCACGACAGTTGTGAGTTTGCCATAGAAATCAATGTCCATACTTTCGCCTCCACCTGAGACATGGACACTACTGTTTTGCGTACACAACTTGTCATCTCGTGCTGTCCCCAAAAACTTGACGCCATTAACGTGGCAACCCAAGAACAATTCAGCGCGAATCGGGTCGAACGCCAAGTTATATAACTCTTCACTGTAAGTGGGGGAATTCGATGATTTCAACTTATTCACCTAATATTATACAAAAACATTCACATATTAGTTTGAGAAAATTAAATACTACAATATATATGTCAAATACAAAACACTGATAACTTACATATTCCAAAAACCATTATGGAAACAAATGTGATGGATGTTCTCGCTTCATCATCTCTTCATGTTCATCTAAGTATGTCATTATCTCATCACAATTGTTCAGTACGAACCAATGCGCTATCTCCATGTCATTTCTGGAAAACAACTCTCCTCGTACAGGATCTCCAAAGGGTCGTGCGCTTTGCGCAAAAACAAAAAGTGTCTCATTTCTCACACCTCCATCATTATTGCGCTGAGGATGATTGAAAGTCATCTCCACATCTTTTAAATACATTCCACAGAAAGTAAGCGACTCATACTGAACCTAAGCTTCTATAATTGATCCTTCGGGCTTCGCCCTGTTGCGTACACTTTTTTTCAGCTCTCCGAGAAGCCTGCCAAAATAAAACGATACGATACAAATTAGCAAGCATGGGATAATGATGCATAAACAAATAATGAGAATTATATACCTTTCTATTGAATATATCCAACGATAGTTGACAGGACCAGCAAGCAATGCCTCTTCTGGTAAGTGAACCATCACGTGAATCATACTTGTGAAGAAAGCTGGAGGCACTACAAGGAAAAATTGTTTCAGCGACGATCATGATTGGTCGCTAAAAGATCAAATTTTGTCGCTAAATTTTATTAGCGACCAAATTTGTTTCGTCGTTATGTTGGACGCCGAAAGCTCTTGGCGGAAAATAATGAGCGAGGAAGGAATATTTCGGTCGCCAAAGTGATTCGGCGACCAAAATATTTCGTCGCTTATCGGATCCTTTTTGGTCGCCAATTAGTAGGTTGTTCGCGCCTAAATGCCAAAATTTCCCGCGAATTGGCCGGCATTTTGCGACGAAATGGATATTTGGTCGCCGTTGAGTTATTGTGACCATGTTATTTCGTCTGTAAAAGTGTGCTTTTTGGTCGCAAAATGTACTGTGGTAGAACTGTAGCGAATACTTGCGACCAAATGTTTGGTCGCCAAAAATATACATTAATGTTTTAATTAATTTAATTTATATTTAATTTAGGGATATTATTAAGCTTTTATACTTTATAATGTCCATAAAAAAAACTATAATTTTGGAAATCATTAAATTAAGGTACATAAAGTAACAAAAATTGACTGGCATTAATAAAAGTTTTAGAAGTTCAACATGTACAAGAGGATATATATCATCAAGGCAATTCAGTAAAACCAAAAACTAGCCAAAGCCTATATCATCAAGACAATTCAGTAAAACCAAAAACTAGTGACCCAAACTAATATTGTCATCATCATCATCATCATCACCATAGGTTGGATCACCAACATGCTGAGGAGGAACACCCATATCCATATCTGGGGGCAAAGCACCCACATGGGTTCGCATCCATTCAATAACACCCAAAAGTTTACCAACTGTGCCCTGAAGCTCACTTACTGTGCCCTTTAACTCACCAACTGTGCCCTGAAGCTCCTCCACCTTTTGCTCTGTAGCCAAAGAGGAAGTAGCAGTAGTTCGATCACGTGAACTCTCCACTCGCAGATTAGAGCCCAAGCCTCGTATCCTTCTTCCCCTTGCAACCCCAAGTTCTGCAGCCATGATCTCTAATTGCTGTTGTTTAGAGACCGTGATATGATCTAGTTCAATTCCTGAACTCTCTGCCAATTCTTGCTTGGCCTTCTCATAATCTTCCATCATTTTCTTCTACAAAAAGAAACAAGATAAGAATAAGAGCAATATAAAAGTGTAGAGGAACACTAAAAGTGAAGACAAGGCCAATTCCCAGATCTTCAAAGAAGAAGCATCTTTTCTGATTCTAGAACAGACATCTCACCATGTCATTTTTTAACAAACAATGAAATTCTCAAAACTAAAAAATACTTTGTGGGTGTGAGAGAGATAATAGAATATGTAAGTGAAATTGGTGAAACCCAAAATTAAAAACTAACACATGTAGAGAAATTGGTCTTCATACCTAAAGAGAGGCAGCAGAAATTGGTCTTCAATATGTTGATTCAATGGTTGAAGGGCTGTCGATCACCTTGGTATTAAGACAAAAAGAAATCAGATTTTAGAACTGAGGAGATTCTAGAGATTCTAGGGAATTGGTGGGTCAAAGTGGGATACCCATGCCATGAGAAATCCAGGGGGTAGAGAGGTATGTCACTGGTTCGCCATCTTCAGTGGAGGATTCGCTTATTGACATCGGTGGGAGAGGCAGAGAGGGTATATAGAGTGAACTTGAGAAGTGACGAATTGGGGAGGAGTTTTTTCTTTTCTTATTATTATTATTTTTTTTTAAAGTTATAGTCTCCACCATCAGCCCCCCAAAAAATACTCAAATCACTAAAACGACGTAGTTTTTCAATACCTTAAAATCATAGGATCCCTCATCGTGACCAAAATATGTGGGTTGACAAAGCGCATGAAATTATTAGGCGCGAATTTTACTTTGGAGGCCAACTTAGCGACCAAATATTTCCGTCGCTTTGAATTTCACATTTTCGCGCGCGCGGCATTAAGAAAATGGCGACAAACTACACCTTTGGTCGCGACATTTTCACCTAGCCACCAAAACAGTTCGTTGCCCATGAATAATATTTGGTCGCTACTTGGGTGACTGAAATTTTACAATTTGACTCCATCTGACGAAACCTTTGGCGACCATATTATATTATTTTGTCGCCTATAAGTGTCTTTTGGCGACCAAATCTAGTTTGTCGCCAAATATTTGGTCGCAAAAGGGATTTTTTCTTGTAGTGAGGGAATATCATCTCAAACTTGCATAGGACTTGGACAATGTCATGGCGCAACTGATTAATGTCTGTCTTGCGATTGGCTTCTCTATATCTTCCAGCTCAATTAAACAGCATGCTGCTCAAAACCATCTACAACTTGCTCATTAGTTCTCTTAATTTCGTTACTTTGTGTTTCCTCAATTGGAAAACCATTTATAACTTTCTTATTAAATTGTTAAATTATATTATTCCTGTTTATACATAATTAGATGTTTACGATTATTGTCCTAACTCGATTTTCCCCATTCATCAACATTAACACTTACTATTTTCCCACTTTTTTATAACAGAGTCAAGACCTCCATCAAAGAGAAGAAAAGTCATGAAGAAATTGCAAAACAAATCCCGCCCAATTAAACAGCATGCTGCTCAAAACTATCCATATTTTGCTATTTTGATAGCTGCTTCCCACTATTAACATCTCAATATATATACAAACATGTCTACTGTTTTAACATAACAAGTAGCCTGTAAAATATGTTATTACTTTTCTTTTTTGCAACTTATACTTCCTTAGGTAAACATAATGCTACAAGTTAAATCTCATTGTATATATAATGATCTTATTTTGTCTACGTAATTTCAAAACCCGAAGTATCACGCGGGCTTTTTTGCTAGTAACAATGAAAACTGACACAGCAAATGGAATAGAATTTTATTTTCTTTAAACTTAGAAAGATATTGGTGAACCAAAAATTAATTCAAAACACTCACAGAATAAGAAAAAAAATACACTAATCATTTGAGCAAATAAAATAAAGGTTGAAAGTAAAATACCTGATTTTCCGAAACCACCCATTCCAAAAATCTTGTGCGCCCTGATGCAAATATATCTTCTATGAACGGTAGTTGGAGGTTCTTAGTTGCAGATATAACAGCAAATCCCTTTGAAATGGTAAACATGATCACTCCAAATATGATGATCCTCCCAACCCAAGAATCTTTTCTGACCCACTGAAATTGATAAAACAAATATGAAATCAATATTTTTATCTTCCTTTTGGTCATAAATGTTGCTGTCAAACTAAAAATTAAAGAAAAACTTACCTGACTTTTCTTTCTCTGTTTAGACTTTGGCCGCTTGATGTATGTATGAGGTGAAGAATTAGAGAGTTTTTCCTTTCTAATTTTATAGCCAAAAAGATCACCAAGAATTAGAGAGTTCTAAGTCGATGATGAAAACTGATGGTTGTAAAATATGCGGCTTTATGTTTATATAGCAGAGGTTGTGTGAATTTTTTTTGTTTTTCTATTTCTTTTCTTTTTGAACTTTTAGGAACTCGATAGTGATAAGGTAGTCACGTGCTCTCTGCAAACTACCTCTCTCACCTTCATATTCCAAAGGATAGACACAAGACGTTTTTTACGTCGTTTTCTGTCAACTGTCAGTTATTTTTTTGTTTTTAGTCTGAAGAACTAATGCACTTGCTGAAACGCAATGGTAGGTAGGAATTCAAATGCTAAACCCAAAGACATGCACCTGTCTCTAGGCTTGGCTTTTACTGAAAAGTTGAAGACACCAGTCAATTGACTATCACTTTTTCGATCCTGCTCTTTCGGTAAGATTTGGAAAAAGATTCTGTAATGTTCCAAGCATGAGAAAGTTTCTTGATAACGTGGAAAAAAGAACAAACTTCCAAATTCCAATTCATTTCAATCCTAACTTTTGTAAAAAACTTGTATGTATCACAAATTAACCACGTTTCGTCACGCATTAGGATTTTATTATACATGGTGGAACACGATTAAATGAAAGTAACAAGATAGTGTTATTCCCGTCACATGCAATTTCTTCTTTAATTTCTTAGGTTATGATGAAAAGTCACAACTACAAGACAAGATAGTGTTTGTCTTCAGATAAGCACTCAAGGCCGTCCTCGCCCTTTAGAGTTCAAGAGGAACTTTCCGGAGCTTTAAACTTAAAAGTTTTTTTTTTTTGGAGGTAAAAGGAGTATTATACTCAGAAGAATAACAAAACAGTCAAGGGCTACAAACAACAAAGACCAACCAGAGAGGCCAGTCACAAAACAGTAAACAAAACAACAACAAAAAATTGAAAGAAGAAAGCTTAGAAAGCGTCAAGTTCGGTGGGCAAGGTAAACCATCCCGTGAAAGTATGAAGACCAGGGGGATTGGAGGTCGAACGACCCAAGCCTCGGTGCACAACCCCCTTCTTGCTTGCGAAGCCACCCAGTCAGCTGCATGGTTCGCATCTTGAGGAGTCCATGGCCACCAGAGAGAGGAGAATGAAGCTTTTAGCATTCTAATGTCATAGACGGTAAAGAGTCCAATTTTAGACAGAAATATCTCCCTAAACAGCAGCAAAACAAACCTTGGAATCAGTTTCCACAATAACATGAGTGAAACCTCTTACATGGACCAGCTCTAATCCACTTCGGATCGCATGACACTGAGCCTGCACAACTGGTGATGACTAAAAACAATGCACACTGCCATCAAGCAGACTACCAGTATGATCCCTTATCACTACCCCTGTAGAGCCTGCATTCGTAACTTTGTCCCGGGCATCGACACAGTTAATTTTGACAGTCCCCACCAGAGGATTGACCCACAGATGACTATCCAAAGGTGGAGTGTAGAAATGGTTCCTATCATCTTTCAATCTCATAACACTTCTATCGGCCAATGAGTCCGTGAGCTCTGGCGATGGTGGGTAGAAATTTGATTTGTCATACACCAAATTACAATGCGTTTTCCAAATAGCTGAGCTAGTAAAGGCAAAATGAGTTATAATACATCATTTCTCTCTCCTCCGAATTAAAGGTCTCACACAACCAAAGATCACTAATCCACCTATCCAATGAAGTGAAAGCTTGAGGCAGAGGTCTGTAAGCAATACAAGTGGCAAACCACACTCTGGCAGCCCATGGGCAAAGGAAGATTGTATGCTCAATGGATTCAGATTGTTCCATGGAAAAAAGGCAAATAGGAGAATGGCAGAGCTTGCGCCTAAAAAGGACCTCAAAAGTGGGAAGGAAACCATTGACCGCACACCATAGAAATAATTTGATTTTAGGGAGCGTTTGGCAATTATGAATGCGAAGCCAGACTTTAGAATCAATCACATGGGAAGAGCTTGCCTTCATCACAACCTGATACTTTTTATACTCCATGAGGTAGTAATATCCTGATTTGATTGAGTATCTCCCATTCATAGTGTATGGCCAAATAAGTCTGTCAGGGATATCAAAATTGCTGATAGGAATTGCCATGATTGCTTGGACATCCAACGGCGAAATAAACGCCTTGATTTTAGAGAGGTCCCAAGTATGATTGTGTATCCATCAGATCAACAACAACAATTGGAGCATGTTGAGGCACAGGACAAGTGTACCTAGGGTAATTTTGAGGTAGCAAAGTATCAGACAACATATTAATGCAATTGCCATGCATAACTTGTCGTCTTGCTCCTCTAAAAAGAAGCCCGTGCCCCACCAAAAGGCTATTCCAAGTGTGTTCAGATCCTTTGTCCATGTTTTTGTCTGTCCCTCCCTCTCTATAACACCCCCGACTCTTTTTAATTATTTTATTTACTTATTTAATTGTGAAATTACATTTTGCTCTTGAGGTAGGGGCACTTTAATCACTTTTTTTTCAAAAAGAAATTTAGGAAATTTAGAGGCACCGTTGTGTAGAGCTCGTCGATACGAGTCCGTAGACAGGTGGCATACTCAATTTCGAGTTGTAATGAGAACGTAAAGGTCTAAAAATGAAAAAGGCATATAGGGAATTTCTGGAAGGCTTATTTACTATAGTGCCCCCAAAAACTTCGGTCAAATCTCACTTTACCCCCTCAAAGTTAAAGTGGCCCACTTAACCTCCTTGACCATCATTTCGTGTTCCACTTTACCGCTCACCATTTCCTCCATTAATAACTCTGTCAATTTTGATGATGTGGCATGACTATTTTAGTCTTTTTACCACAAGTGATGATGTGTCATGTGAATGTCCCACTTTTTTTGTTTAAATTGATTTAAATATATAATAAAATATTAAAATTGGTATACTAGTGATTTACCCCCTAAACTTGTACCTAATTTTCGATTTTCCCCCTATCCTTTTTTTTAGAAAATTAAGGACCACAATTATTATTTTTAGTCAATTTCCCCCCTACCGTTAGATTCACTCACATTTCATCCAATTAGTGTTAAGAATGGTCACGTGCATGTGACACTTAATTAATTATAAAATAATGTTATAAAACAATAAAGAAAACAAAATGAAAACAAAAACATTAACTAGCCTCATCTTGCTCCCACCAATCCCTAGCCTCCCCCACCGTCATCCCCTAGCCAACCAACCATACTCTCTCTCTCTCTCTCAACACAACAAGCACAAAATACACAAATTTACATGCCCTTCAAAGCCAATCAAGAGCCACCATTCTCTAGTCTTACTATTATTGTGCAGGCTTTTTTTATTTCCTTGTTTAATTTACTAAAAATAGAGAAACTATGCCTTCCACTGCTGCAGAAGGGGGGAGGTGAGGGGAGGGGTCTGTGGGTGGGGGATTGTTCTGGGAGTGGAGGGTGGTGGTCATGGGGGAATGGGAGGAGAAGAAACACCTTGAGGAGAGGTGGGCTGGCTAGGTTCGGAGGATGAAAAATACAGAAGGGGGAAGTGGTGAGGGTGTTTGGGTCAGCTGTTTTGGGAAGTGGGTGTTGCTGCTCTTTTGATAGCAGAGCACTCTCCATTGCGTCCAAGGCCATGGTTGCTGCTCTCTGTAGGAAGTTCCATTACTGGGGCACTGGCTTTGAGGATTTAGAAGAAATTTGGGACTTTTGGGTCGTGTTTTCTTTTAGGTTGGAAGTGGTGGAGGGAGTGAAAAGGGTGGTTGATGAAGATGAGAAAGGCTGCTGATATGAAGGGGTCTATTCGGGGATTTGGAGAAGAGAGGAGGCTTGGAGAGAGCAAGTGAGTGTGTTTGGGTTGATTTTCTGTGAATGGGTTTTCTGCTGAAGAAAACTGAGCTTGAGGAGAAGAGGGGGAAAACCCAATTGGTTTGTAGCTAAATTTGATGAGTTTGTAGAAGAAAGGTGGTGTCTTCTAATAGTAATAGGCTTAACCCATGTGCTTGTTGTTGCTGCAGCAATGGAAGGCAGATTGGAGCAACATTTGGAGCTTCTGGGCAACTAGACCCTCTGTGAAAAATTACCAGAGAGAGAGAGAGAGAGAGAGAGAGAGAGAGAGAAAGAGCGTTTATTTCAATTTTCTATTTTTTAGTATATTTTTCATTTTTTATTTATTTGTAACGTACAAAATGACCACTTTATCCTCATATTTAATCGCAAATTGGATGAAATATTGCGGATTTAGATGGTAGGGGGGAAATTGGTGAAAAAAAAAGAGTTCATATCCTGAATTTTCTATAAAAAAAACAAATGATATGGGGTTAATTGAAAGCTAGGTACAAGTTCAGGGGGTAAATCACTAGTATACCCTATTAAAGGTGTAATTACTTGTTTAATTAAAAAATATATAAAAAAAATGAAAAAATGAAAAAATAAAAATCTTTTTTCTCTATGCTTTAAAAAAAATTAATATAAAAAAAAACTACCTAGATCCCACTCTCCCCAAAGATCAATCCGTATCCCCAAAGTGGCACGTCATGAAAACTGATCGGTGCATATTTACATATTATTTTGTACCCTTCTAATTTATGATTTGGTTATGTTTTTGAGTTAAACTTGTGCTTTTAATAAGTTTTGTGTTTATTTCAGTGCGATAAGCTTGAGAATCACTAATTGCATTTTGGAGACAAGTTAGCTCAAAACGGTGTCTGCAGATCAGTCAACTTCACGGATTGGACTGTACTTGCTCAAGAAGAACCAGATGATGAGCCATACATCATTGGAAAGATACAGAAGTCTAGTTTCTGTATAATTTTACGGTTCATGATTCCGAGTCTTCTAGAGAAAGTTATACATGTTTTGGCAACTTAAGGTCAAATTCGGCAGCATCTGCGTTACTGGGCCAAAAATTATATTTGAAGGCCTTCCCGATTTTTCCTTGAGTTGGGCTGCATATGCTTGGAAAGATAATTCAAAGAGCTTCAAGATCCATATTTTTCCAGATTTTTCAGATTGGAGCCACAAGCCCAAAACGAGCCCACAAGCTGGCTGCAATGCATTGTCATGCATGACATATGCATGATGAAGTGTTGTTGATTGTGGGAAAG